GTGTTTCTATGTTCAAAATTACCCACTATGGATACATCATGCACTCGAAAGAAAAATAATCATCATTAAAACAAAATTTATAATTGATCGCCTTAGGAGTAATGGCAGCTATCACTCGCACATTATCTTCAATACAAATAATCAATTATTCACATCGAAACATGTTCATCAAACGTAAGCAGACGTAAATCACGTATAAAGCAACACAATCTCATCATATACAGATCATCAGAACAAAAAACAAACAATTACACAATTTCGTTACAAAAACAGAACTTTCGCTTGATTCTATACCATCACTTGTGGATATTTTAAAAATACTCAATCCTAAAAAATTGTCTCTTATCTTCGGATGATTTGAAATGAGTCGGCATGTGTGCATGCATATATATTATAAAGAGTTTTCAAACTTTTTTCTATCAAAAACTTAGATCAAGCTTATTCTGAGAGGTGCTGCATATGCAGAATTTCCAGCTGTTTAATATTCATCACTCGTGGTTGTGATGAAAGAATATTATAGAGAAATTTTTTCTCATTTTTTTGTCATAACTGATAGGGGTACCGTATATGATAATATCTACTTCATATTATTTTCCATTTTTTTTCTATTAAAAATTTGGTTGAACTCAATTCCAAAAGATGCTCCTAAAGCACAATTTCGAGCTGATTAATATTCTAGACTCCTGGTTTTCACAGAAAAATTTCATGCGGGAAAATTCTGTCCTATCATTTCTTGAATCATAGAGAGTAGCACATATGAGTACATGCATTGCATATTATTTTTACATTTTTTTTTCTGTTAAAAAATTCGATCAAGCCTGTTCTAAGAGGTGCCACTTATGCAGAATTTCAAGCTGATTAATATTCAGCACTCTTAATTCTGATAACAAAATATCATGAGGGAAATTTTTCTCTTATTATATGTTGAGTTATAGGGAGTAGCACATATGACAATGTCCATATATTACTTTTACATTTTTTTTTCTATCAAAAAATCGAATCAAGTCAGTTGCAAGAATTGATTCTAATGTAGAATTTTAAGCTGTTTAATATTCTCCACCAGTGGTTTAGAGAAACCTAGTTCTTTGAGGAAAACTTTCTTTTATTTCATCTTGAGTTATAGGTGGTAGCACATATATCAATGTCGATCTCATATTGTTTTTTCAATTTTGTTTCTATCAAAAAATTGGATGAAGAGAGTTCCAGCAGTTAGTCTTAGTGCACAATTTCAAGCTGATTAATGTTCTCCTATCCCGGTTTTAATACGAAATTATCGTCAAGGAAAATTTTCTTTTTTTATATCTTGAGTCATAGGGAGCAGCACATATGTGTACACCCATTTAAAATTACTTTTTCAATTTTTTTTCGATGCTCAATTTGGATGAAAACAGTTTCAAGAGGTGCTACTAATGTAGGATGTCAAGCCGATTAATATTCTGCTATCGTGGTTTGATAAAAAGTATCATCAAAGAAAATTTTGTCTTATTTTATTTTGAGTCTTAGGGAGCAACATATATGACAATACCGACTTCATATATTTTTCTCAATCTAGTTTGAATGAAGTTTCATTGAGATTAAAACGGGCTGTATTAATGTCTCTCTTTTATGCTGTATTATATTTTGTTTCATTTAGCTATGGTACATGGTGATATTCGTTTATTTTAAAAGAATCCGATTTTTAACCGATATTGAACTTCTATTTGGAGAAACTGATATGACTTTTTGTATAATACAACTTTTCGTATGTTGATCAATAATAATGTAGATTAATCTTGCTTTCTACTTTTGTGATTTTTATCTTTCATAATTGCAATGATAAAAACAATCTAATCTTTTCTTCTTTTATGTATACTTGTTATTGTTATTAAAGAAAAGCACATAGGGTGGAGATTCGTTTTTATTGAATTGTGCATACAGTTTATCAGAAAGAGTTGTTTTTATTGTCTTGATGATATTATTTATTTAAATCTTATTCACTGAATTCAAATACAACAACTGGTATTCATGTGCGTTTTTCTAATATAAATGTTACTTCGTTTATAGTCTAATCATCAGAATTGATGTTGATTTACGTTCTACTACCGTTTTTAGATTGTCTTTAGTTAAAAATGTTGTTGTTCATGTCTGGCAAAGATGTTATTGTCTTTTAGATAATAAAAATTTCTTCAAATTTAATGTAGATCAACGATGAATGTTCAATGCATATTTTGTTCCGCACAATGTGCTAATCATTGTTGCTCCCAGTGTGCTCAAATGACTCGTAGTCAAAAATTTGGACGATTGCTGCAAGTTTTGAGACGATGTTCTGAGAGTACACTCTTTCACGATGAGATTATTTCTGCAGTTCAACAGATTAAGCAAGTAAGTGATAATGTGTATCAGTTTAAGTCCAAAGAATGTGCTTTAGATGGAATTAATGATGACACCACTGGAATATCGAGCTTATACAGTCTTTGATGAGAGAATACATGAAATGGATATTGTGGCTAAACAATACCTGGAAAGTGCTTCAGCTGATGTGCATCACCTTATTCCAGTCGACGTTCCCACTGATGGAAACTGCCTATATCATTCTGTTCTTATTTCGATGAATAATTCAACGGTAACCACTAGTGAATTACGAGGTATAGAGATCTTTGAATATGTATACATTTGTGTTGATAACAATTCGATTATTTTTAGTGCGCACGATTGTGGAACTTATAACGAATGAAACTTTTTACTCCAATATGTATGCACATGTCGTTGGACCTATCGATATAGCCATTAAAGGCGTGTGCAAAAACTTTACATATTCTGAATTATACGAAATATGTGCATTGTGTACTGTACTTGGATGTAATATACGAAGTGTCTATCCGAAAATTGACTTTCACCCTGATATGGCTGTTATGAACAACATCTTCACACCTGCTCCATCTGTCACTGCTAATTACGAAATCACAATTTTATGGTCGCACGCCTGGGATGAAATGCATGCACGGGCTGTCAACAATAATGTATGGAGTCCCAATCATTTTGTTCCTCTCATGTCAC